AGCCTCCCCGCCGAGCTCGCCTGGGAGGGCGGAAGGTCCAGTTGCGTCGCTTTCGATTTCGCTTCGTCGAACAACCCGGAAGGCCAGCCGGGGGCTGCGGCGTGGAGGGGCCGGACCGGGCCGGTCAGGCGACAACTTGTTGTCTCGGGCCACGTTTCTCGTTCCGCTGGAGGTTTCGAAATCCGTGTGTTTCCGCCCGCAGGTCGGAGCCCTGCCGCCTTTTCTTTTCGGTCGAGTTCCTTTTGACCTACAAAAGCTAACAGGCGTACGAGGACCCTGTTTCCTTTAGAACTGGGCTGTGTGTGTCCTGAGGAAAGAAAAGAGAAAAACTTTAGGAACTGAATTAACGGGCTGGGGGTAGGGAAACGACCTGAAAATGGCAAGTTCCTGTAAGACCACCAGCAGCAGCAATACGGTGGACCCTTGCGTGGTTCCTGCTACAGTTTGTAATCTAAAATTTGACCCAGGAGCAATGTTCATTTAAAAGAATAACTCCATGCATGTAACATGTAGACCATTGTCTAACCATGGTTTGTGGAACAAACCACTACTCTGTTGGCTGGGCTCAGGTAAGGTGCTAAACCAGAAACAATCACCTTGGAATATATTGTGGGAATCCAGCCTATATTTCATTCAGTTACAAAGTCTTAGATTTAGTACAAGAGATACAGAGACAAGTTGATGTGCTAAACTATACATTTGCTAAATGTGCTAAACTATACATTTGAGTCTACTCGGTCTGGGCTGCAAAACTCTGGATGGCTGCTAGGTGGCAGCACAGAGATACCAAACACCCCAACTCTGCTTCCTTCCAGCAATTTTTTCAGCCCAGACCTGAGAGTTATATTTCAGCAGCACCACAGGATGCTGCTGAATATGCCCCCACGTTTAGGAAGTATAGGCCAGAGGTAATAGTTAGAAAAATAGTTAGGAAATCAACCCTGATTGCTCATTGGAAGGATTGATACTGAAGCTCAAGCTCAGATACTTTGGTCTCCTAATGCGTAGAGAGGACTCT